AATAAATAAATATTATTTTAAAAATATAAATATCGTCAAAAAATATATTTAATAAATTTATCATTTAATTTGTTTTATTAAAAATCGTCATGGGTTTTTGTGTTAGTTGCATTATCGAAATAAATAATCATACTAATTATATATTAAAACCATTTGGACGATATTTTGAATGGGGTAGAATAAAATACGAAACAGAACATTGCTTAACAATATATCCAAATCAAACATCTGGTACATTAAATACATCTTCTTTTTTTTATATTATTAATTATTAATCATAAAATCAATAAATATAGTTAAAGCTATACAAGGTAGAGATGATAGTTCTTCTGGTATACAAGGTTATTTTATCTATGATGTTCTTGACAAAAATACTGATAAGTAATTATATTTTAAATATTAACAAAATCATATACAAAATATTAATCTTTGCAATTTTATTATTAAGAAAAATCTGTCAGATAAAATTGAAATTTAATATTCCATATGATACATATTCATATCGAAAATCTATAGAATATGAAATACTCGAAAATTATAATAATTGTAATAATAATATCAAAATTAAAACTAATGAATGTTGGGGTGGACATGGATATAGTCATAATAGATGTAGATTTACCATACAATGATTATTTACATTAGGATGTTTGCACAAAAAATTTAAATATCATTATATCTTTAAATTATTATTTAAAAAAAGATGAACTTTCCATCTGAAACTTTTTATTTAATTATTAAAAATTATGAATTTGATATGCTTAATGAATATATAAATATATGATATTTTACCTCAAAATAGATAATTAAATTTAAATTTAATTATGGAAGATTTTACAAATTTTATGCTGATATTACATGGTATAAATTTATATATAATGATTATGGTTAATTGAATATTTATTAATCGAGTTTTTAATATAGTGACAATATATGCAGTCGCATGTCTTTTATTTTTTCCTTTTGGTATTTTTATCGGACATTTTGGTCGTAAAATCTTACCTAATATCTGGTTTAATATACATTGGATT